AGGGACGGGGATATTCTGAACCGAGAAAATACTTCTGTGCAAGAGGGAAGGGAGTGATTTAGGGTCCTGCAGCAACTGAAATGCTTTGGAAATGCAAACAATAACAGGATAAACATTTTAAGTGATAATTAACCCGTATCTGTCTGCAGTAACATGTCAGTGACTCGGGATGTGACAATGGCTGGCTTGGAGCTGCTTGATGTGTCGTTGAGGTTTTGGTTAACTTCAGCAAAGAGGCAACTCTGAAACGCTGTCATGACAATTATGTTGAAAAAGATACATGATGGCCATGTAATGATTGAATAAAGGGAAGGCAAAGGGGAAACGTGAAGGGAAAGGAAAAGGAAAAGCTTTACACTGTTTTCGGATGAACACAGTACGTTAAGGGAGCTCTTACTAAAGATGTCAAAGGTAGAAACAGGAGAGTCCACTCTAGGAAATACTTGCCTCCAGGAGCAAAGCAGACATGGAAAGCCCTACGCCGAGTCAGAAAGTGAGTTCTTTTGATAGAATATTACCCTTACTTTATCCCTACAACGCTGGGGATCAGACAGACTGTCAGCCTCCAGGATGGCTCCACCCCGACAGAGGTAACTCAACTCCCATTCATGGGGGGCAGGAGCAGACGCACGGACAGTTTCTACAGCTCAGCTGGTGCCCAAGGTCTCTTCACTGGAAGATGTAGCAGCTCCGTAGGTGGTCAGGCAGGTCAGATCCCCCCTCTCTGACAACTATTTCTGACCCAGGAATGTCAGAAGAGTCACATTTTAGGGGGCATCAGAGCTGCTTAAGTTTTTATGTGGGTTTAAATACATCGACACAGTTCTCCCAGGTTGTTGCTGGTACAAAATAACGATAGTACAGTCAAGCAAATGTATTTAATCAAAAAGGAGATTTCCTGTTGGGAAAAGATATTAAAAAAGAAATTTTAACCAGATTTCTTCAGACAACATCATAACATGAACTCAGAAGAACTTGTGCCATATCTTGAAGACCTGAGTCAGCAAAGACCATGGCAGGGCTGTGTTTAATTGCACAAAGGGGTCTTTGTTAAAATAGCTCCTTGTTGTGCCTGTTCAGAGATTCTTTTTGATCACGATGTTTGAGAAACATGCAGTGCAGCGAAAATGCAAATATAAAATACAGCAATTAACTTACAAAAGATAATTAGACAGCTATAAAGGCAAGCCAACAAGATACCTTAAAACAAACAAACCAAACAAAACAAACCTTGTTTTCCTCATATTCTATATAAAATTCAAATGAGGGCCAGGTCTGTCTGCCAAAGCATGCACAGACAAAGCCCATCTGCAATGCAAGCGTATGAAGGAAGCAGCTTGGTAGCTGCGCGCAG